CCGAATCGCCACTTTCACGCGACTTGGCGATTTGCCAGATTTCTACAAATTATTCGTGCGCGCTCCTCGAACGCATATTTGGGTAGCTTGTGTAGTTGTTGCAAACCGAGCAAGTTCTGACCAAAGGCAACGCATTAACGACGATTTACGAAGAGTCGCTGTTGTGCCAAATCGCGCAGCGACCGAATCGGGCGAGGTATGCCTTAGGCTCCCGCCAGAGTGCCGAAGTTATGCCAGCGCTACGCCAGCATTTCGATCGAAACACGTGTATTTCGTTGGGGACATCAGCTAGCCCCGCCCCAACGAAATACAAGTGTATCGATCGAAATGCTGGCGTAGCGCTGGCATAACTTCGGTACTCTGGCGTGAGCCTTAGGCCTAAAAAAGCGTCCGATTCTAGGAGCGGGTGTGTAGCAGAAACTAGGTACTTTTCAAAACATTCGGATACCCTCCGGAGAAATGTGACATTTATACATCGACGCATATACACCTGAACTTGGTGAAGACCTTCAATCACCATCAATCATTCGATGGCTTGCTTGAGTAGCTCTTCCCTCTGAAGCTGATGTGCCAATACTCAGATATTACACTTTTTGAAAGTAAATAGCAGATTTTGACGGAAGCTTTGCATTCAAATTCTATATATAGGATACAATACAAAATGGATTTCCAACATGATCTCCAAATCCTTGACTCTCTGCAACAAACTTCTGCATCGCCCACCGAATGTCATAGAGCGAGAAAATTCGTAATGCACACATTAGCAGGGCTCGGCATGAGGTGGCTAGTTGAAAATGCAAAAAAACGAAATTCCCCTTGACTTTTGCGAATTTTTACGAAGTCCCCTTTGACTCTAGACCAGGGCTCGGCACGAGGTGGCGTTCCGAAATTGCAAAAAATGAAGTCCCTTTTGACTTCAATAAAATTACGACATAGAATCATCGAACACACGCAATTATATTCATACCAGTGCGTCACCCTCTGCTTCGCAGAGGAACTCACTGGCTCTACTATCTGCCCTACTCATTCTCGCATAATGATGGCATTGGAACTCACCGAGCAATGCCGACTATCGCGAACAAAATGTAAACAACTACTCATTTCGAAAGCTTTTTTTATGTGAAGTCGGTGATTTCGCGTGGATGAGACTTTTTGCATGAAAACAAACGCAAATTTTTATTGGATGGTCTTGACAGCCGCATTAAGAACAGCAGTCACCGTGAGCTACATCTTTGTGCAAAAATCTCGTCAAATGCTCTGGCAAAACCTTGGCAAATTGACCATTTACGCAACCAATACTTTTTGGCGCCGTTTTTGTAAAGTAACGGACTTTTGATCACTTTTTTGAGCCTAAGTTCATGGCATGCACATTTATTTGGCGTAAACATCCACTACTTTGCAAGAAGTGGAATTACGGACCCCATTTTGCGGCCCAAATGCAAAGTGGATCCGTCCGACGCGCAGTTTGTGAGGGATCCACTCAACGAATCTGTTCGTGCTCTTGCGTGTTTTATACGGGTAGTATTGCGGGTACTAGAGACTCTTGGGCGGTTTTTGTCCGTAACAACACAAAAGTAGAAAAGACGGTGGTTCAGGTTTATTAACAAGATTACAGCGAGTAGCAAGAGCGTGTATACGAGAGCTTGGTCCAATGTACGAGTGGTAAAGGGGTGCATGTCTTCGGCCACGCCTACTCAGACGTGACCTGGGGTCGCGGCGGGGGTAGAGGTTAAATGTGGTGGCTCCGTGGCTTTCAGTGCCTTAGGCGGAAATAGCGTTTGATGGAGCAGTGTAGCTGCTGGTAGACAAGGTAGTTCAGCAGCTTTATTGAGTCAATCAACATACCCGCATGAGTGCAATGGTAGAATGCTGGTGATTGAAGGCGTGGTAAAGTAACATCACAAACATCTGGGCAATAATACACTCGTATCGCAGCAGGTCATGCTTATGGCATGACCTTAACGGTGCTTAGAAGAACTAGTGATAAGTTGCAAGGAGGTGCCGATAAAGTCGGCACAGGTAGCATGCGCTGTGTAAAATTTGAGCCCAGGAGGTTGGCTGGAACATGCTCTACGATTTTCGTAACAGACACACAGACACACAAAGTCACGCAAACACCCTTAGCCCGTTATTATAAGTCATGATTCTCCGGAATGGCGGCATGATGTATCCATCGTGCAGCAATACGTGCCTAGAGCAGCCTTTCCGCGGCCATTCAAAATTTTCGAGGGGCTATAACTAAGCGCGAAAAAGGGGGTTTGAGGCGGTTTAGGAACCAGTTTGTAGGGTTCGGGATGTAGATGAAAAGCATGTAAAGAAAGTGGAAAAATTATGTGAGGGAGGAAAAATTTATGACTTTTTCTTTCCTAAGCCACCTCAGGTGGCTATCCAGGTGGCTTGAAAGCCACCTAGCTCCGAAAAAAGTTGAGCACGCCTTTAGTTCACATAATTTTCCATACTTAGTTCTAACTCCCCATTGCCCATCTACACACCCATTTTGGTGTCATTTCATCTTCACTTCGCTGTAAACAAACCTTTTGTTTATTTGCTAGCGGCATGCCGGCAGCGTGCCGGCCGCAGGTCGAAAGACAACGTTATGCTCTTCCGCAAAAACGATATCCCCTTTGCTTTTTCCCCAAAAACGATATCCAGCTTGCTTGTTAAGCCACCTGTGCCGTGCCCTGCATATTAGATTGATGCAAAAGTTCTTCTGCATCATTTTGGAAAAATCATAACTTCTTCCTCTCTCAACGATTTGCATAAACTTTATTTTGCTAGATAGAGGAAAATCTTCATTTTGTAATAGTGTCTTTGATGCCCTTCAATAAGGGGCAGCTTTTGAGATGGAAACAGGAGAATAAAGTTGCTACAACTTCGGTCATTTTTTGGTTAGGTTCTCAGAAAAATCTAAAACTTGCGATAAAGTTGCGAAAGCAGTACAGTAAGTCTTCCGATCTGCAGTTTTCCCGAGGAGCATCTCTGTGAAGGGTTGAGATTTCAGGTAAGAATTTAGCAACTTTCGAAAACCATAACTCTTCACAGAGATCGTCATTTGACAAAAACTCTGCACTTTTGGAAACTGTGGATCGCAAGACTTATTATACTACTTGCTCGGAATTTTGCAAGTTTCAGATTCTTAGCAGCTCAACTCAAAATGACCAAAGTTAGGCAATTTTATTCTACTGCTTCCACCTCAAGAAGAGGCACTATCACGGAGAGAAGGGTTTCCTCTAAAAATCATAAAATCTAAAAATCAAAACTAGCAAGATTAAGTTTGTGCAAATCCAGAGAGCAAGAAGTTATGATTTTTCAAAAATGATGCAATAAAACTTTCGCATCAACTTATTAGATCGCTACATTGGTGAGTCTCGTGTCCGGCATTCGCATACTATCTGGTGGATCCCCTGCTTTTCAAATATGATTCTTCGTGAAAATATGGCACGTGCTTGGGGCGGCGGCGTGGCGTTATGGAGCAAAGCTACGCCGCATTCGCCTGCGGTATATCCTGAGGGCCCTTTGTGTTGTGTCGCTCCTAATTGCACCCGCAGAGGAGCTAGCGTTGTAGTCGTCCTCACCCCACTAGTCGGTCGGTGGACGAATTCGAATTCGAAATGGAGCAAGCATGTCGCAGCAGAGCATGGCAAATTAACTCTCCGTTCAAATTCGCGCATTCACTTTGTGTATTTCTTAGCCATTGCTTAGCAGTTTTTGTATTGTTACAACGTTTTTGATCTATATTGAGTTTTTTGTAATTGCTGAGCGTTGTCTCTTGCCACGCTCTGTCGTGACAGGCCTGCTTCAATTCAAATTTCAATTCGTCCACCGACCGACTAGTGGGGTGAGGGCGACTATACCCAGCGGATTGAGTCATTCTCGAAATTCTTCTTCTGTACAGAGACCGAAATGCGGAAGTTAAACGAATTTTGAGGATGAAAAAAACAGATTCCGGGGAAGAAGTGTTTGAAAGTACCACCCAAGAGAAAGTAAAAGCTTGGAAAGATAGTAACAAAATTTTCTGTCCCTTTTCTATACTAATTCTCGTGTTACACTTGAAATCCGTCTTTTATTCTCATCGGAGATTCAGCCTTTGCATCCGTAAAATCCATCCATTTTTCGATTTTAAATATCGTCGACTCTAAAAATCGTGACGACGGTCTGCAGTGCGGCCAGTGCGCGCCGCACGGCACTGCCGCTTTATCGTAGGGCAATCTTGCTTCTCTGCAGTGTAGACTCCCTGCGGTAGCCATGAAAGTTCCTGCAAGCAAAAAAGATGCAAAAAGAAAAAGAAAAACCACAAGAACTCACCTTCTCCACGTAATTTGGGCGAATCACTAGGCGGCAGTGCCGTGCGGCGCGCACTGGCCGCACTGCAGACCGTCGTCACGATTTTTAGAGTCGACGATATCTTTATTGCATTCATGCAGTTTGGACATCTTCTCAGGGCGCAGCAATAGGGAATGGCTCAGTTCCTTGTCAGGAGCGGTGTACTCCTGCGGCTGCAATTAAAGGCGACGCAACGCAACTGGCCCACAGGATACACCGCAGGGGAATGCGGCGCTGCTTTGCTCCATAACGCCTGTCCCCCGCTTAGGGCACCCAGGAGAAACCCTTTTTGTGTAGTCCGTTGATGGGACATCGTTCAAACCAGCTACGGTAAGTACGCCGAAGACAAAGGACAAGTGGTTGCATACAAATACTCTGTTAGACTACCGTAGTCCTGCTCCAAAAAAAGCAACAAAATGATGTCATGTTCGAAACAGCTCTAAAAAAGTTGGCGCAGAAACCGTGATTTCGACCTTCCAAAATGACAATATTGAACGTTTTGGTCGAAAATTGCAGAGACCGAAAAATCACCTCGCTCATGTTCATCCATTACTTTGAATCTGCTTTGCATGCTCTCATTTGCAACCTAGCACTGACTCAATATGAAAGAGTGGTGGGATCGAAACGAGGGAGAAGATAAGGAGAATTAGCTCTGACCATATATTCAGTGCGGTGATAAAAACAATCATATATTTATTGGCATGGCATTACATAAACGCACATTTTTCTTTGAGGATTGCTGGAGCAAGTATAACAGAAAAAACAACGATCAAACTCAACAACATGCAAAACTATTTGATAGTTTCCACTAACAAGCGGGAGGTCAGAATGACATACTCACATGATCCAAAAAGGCTTTGAACCTGCAAAACAAGTACAATTTCATTGACACAAACTTAGCCATATTAGCTCACCGCTGGTTGTCCATGATTACAATCCTGCGAAATGGTTTGAACGACTTTCCATCCCTGATGAGAGTATGGAACTTGCTGCTACCATCTATTTCGGTATGAACAGGAATATCAAAATGACAAGCTTCGCCCTCTTCCAACTGAATCCAACACTTTAACAAATTCGATTAATAAATTTCGAACTAGACGACTGACTTGCATCAGTAGCTCATCCTCCACATTGTCATATATAATTTCGGCCGTCGACAGAGCTTTTTGGGTTAACCTTTTCTGAAAAAGAGAGGTATAGACAAAGTATTAGACAGAAACACATTTTTCAAACCTTTTCGGCTTTTCCCATTTTCCTCTTTTTCTTCGCTGGTTGCGCACTACCATTACTTTCAACGGCAACAGCTGGTTTGGAATCAGCGACGCGTAATTTGTGCACATAGATCAGATTTTGAAACGGCTTTTTCAAATTATCATAGTCAGACCTAGAAAGTCTTATTAACCCATCAATAAACACACTACAATTAAAGGTGCTACGGTTACCTGAGACTTTTGAACGAAGGAGAAATAATTTGAGTGGGGAAGTTCAACATCCTTTCGTTAACGAAGAGACCTGTGCGCTTTGTTTGCAAGGCATCATATGCGCTGCGAAAGTTAGGCAATGCATACTTCTGTGCTCTCTTCTCCACATAGTCCATGACGCCTTTGGCATACTTTGTCATCTCATGCTGGAGATAGAGGTCTACAATTAAGCCCACAATGCGGAAAATCACATACCTTAGGAGACGTCAGCCTGATAACAGTCAATAAACCATACACATCGTTTTCGTTATCTTCATCGCATTGGTCTTCAGCTGGCTGGAAGTTCAAAATTATTCAAGACCCATATTTTTTGGAAGAACAGTGCTTTCCAATCCAAGCAAAAGCCTAATGCAACGTTGCAAAGTTAGCGCCATCTCTGGAACTAACCAAGATCAAAAACAAATTGAGCTGAGTTATGGGCGGTGTTGAGGATCATGGAACCCACACCATTGCAACCAATAGACAACATTAGCGGAAAGACATATTTGATAGTAATTTTCATGAACAACTATCAAAGCAAAACAATTTCAAGGTTTTTTTTATGACTCTCAGCTAACGACCAGGATAATCTTTTGCAAAGGGATCGTTCAGACCGCGCCAGAATCCGTCCAATCCCTCCCGAATACGTCCAAACCGCCCAGATACGTCCGAATCCGCCCGAACCCGCCTGAACGCCGGAACTGCCAAAGCGCAGCGGATATGAGCAAACTGGCATATTGGAGCAAGCATAGAATACTGCGCGCGTGGTGCATATATCTTAGTCACAAGTAGCTCGACGTTGCATACCGATCTTCTATTGCAACTACTCCGATATTAGGATTAATCGCACGCGTGCTCCAATATGCCCCAATTTTGCAATCTGCTGCCCTTTGGCAGTTCAGGCGGGTTCGGACCTTTTCGGGCGGGTTTGGGTTCCGGCGCGGTCTGAACGATCCCAAAGCTTTGTTATAATTGCGTTGTAGTAAACATGCACTGAATACACTTGAAAGATGCTGACATGAAACTTGCAACACAGACATCAGTAAAGTTGTAAAACTGTATTAAAGTATAGAAAACAACTAGTGACTGGTGGAAGACTCACACCGATGACAATTCCGAATGGACTTTGAGCAATAATTGCGTCTGCTAGCGCTGGAAGGTCGATATCAGCTTGAAGAAACACCTTTAGAATTATAGGTTTTTTACAAAATAACAAATTGAACCTTGCTAGCGAAACCAGGGAATGACCTTACTTGAGTCAACATATTGACAATTCCGTCTTTATCGCCAGCTTCCATTGGAAAAGCTTCGATATCAACATCGAGCTGCTGCTCCAAATTATCGACGATGAGATCTGATGCTCCACTATCATCGTCAACTTCTGAAAAGGCTCAAAATACGCATCTTTCATGCAGGATAACAAATGAAAAAGCTGAACACAGGAGGGGTTTTTGGTCAAACTGGCTTTTCCGGATAAGCTCGATATCATTTTGCAGCACTTCGTTGCGAATTAAAGGGTTAGTTCGGGCCTGAAAGATAGGGCAGACGGTGATATTAAAGTGCGCTTGATAGAAAGAAGCCATCATGTCCGCATGGTTTCCCGTCTCTGCGTACGACAATCGGCTAAAGTATAGGGCTCTGCGTGATCGCGAGAGTCGGGAGTTTGCGGCCAGCACGCGCGTTGAGCTTTCTCAAGTATTCCCTTTGCGAACGCTTTTCTACTACCAGATGTGAGCCCCGGTTATCTGAAACGATTTTGAAACGTACTGATTGTCTTAACTCGTTTAAAATCTTGTGGCATTCTACGCGATGGCGGAGAACTCATTGACTCTCGCGATCACGCAGTGCCCTACATATCAAAGGCAGACGCTTTATTAACCACCACCCACATACTATACTTATGCAGCTTGCTTGATGCTCACCTTTGGCGGATTGTTCATCTTCTTCAGCTTTTGAAGATGTTTGCGGCTCAACAGATTGCATTTTGAAGACACCATCTTTAACTTTTTTCAACTGCAACATTCTCAAACTTATGAAGTTTAAGTCATCATTCTACATACCTTCTTTCGCTTAGGTCGTACCATATCCTTTGTCGGAAGCGTTGAAGGAGCGGGATCTTCGCTAGTCGCTTCAACATACTTTCTTTTCAGCTTCTTTTTCGCCCTTTTCACCTAAACAAAGATGATTGAGGTCACGCAAAGCCTTTTCTCCACCACGAAGTAGAAAGAAAACTGAACATACAGATTAAGACGCAAAGACATAGCGCAAATCTCGAAACTCAAGCAAAAAAGCATCAAGAACAAAGAAGTGAGAGCTTGCCTTTCTTCTTTTAAGCACCGTCCGCCCTTCTTGAAGACCTGGAGCATCCATCGAGTTGGTAAGCCTGGCAGATCTTCATAAACTCTATTGTCGTGTGCAAAAATTTGCATTGTAGTATCGTTTTCGCCACGGGTCAGAATGTTCATTAGGGGCGCATAAGCGACTAGTGCGCTACTCGAGAGTTCAGGGTTCCTTCATACTACGCCGCGCACGCCGCATACGCCGCTGCAGCGCAAAGGAATTATGCGGCAACAACGGCGCATCAAATTTGCAATTGCAGTCTAACAGTATGAAGAAGAGAAATCCTTTTCATCCAGTGATGTGTTTGTCAGGGAATGTTAGCAGCGCAAATATACAACCAGATACAACATACAACCATACAACCATATACTACCAATATACAACCGGATGACGCAATGTGCAGTTCAGTTACGATACAAATGTGAAACTCAAAAGTAGAGGGAGCACAACAACCTAAGTCATTCCATCAATCCTCTCCTATAATATAAACCCGATCCCAAAAAACGAGACGGCGAGGATGGACCGCCCACATGTATGCTTCAGCGGGTGTTTTGAATAGACGCCAGTTTCCGAACGGGGCCTTATTGTGTAGAGACGCGACGGTGCGATCATGAGGTCAAGAGGACGCAGAGGTCCTAGCGCGAACGAGAGGCCACGACACGCAGGGTACGCTCTGCTGCTGCAATGGGTGTGTTGAAAGACGCAAGCGCGTGCCAAGGGTGTTGAAATTGCGAGCTGGACATTGTTGCAAAGTTAGTTATAGAGCATACCATTTGATCCGCTCACATTCGATCTCAGTATTCACTATGCTTCCACATTTCCGCCCAATTCTGAGAAAATCTTCGAAAATCTCGCTTTTGGAAGCTTTTGCTCTGGGTGAATTTGATTTTTCCCTCCAGATTGTAAGCGTGAGTGCGAGAGTGACATTGCGAAAGGAAGCTGTACAGCGATGACTGGGGCAAGACAAAATTTTTGCACGATATGATCCACTTTTCCGCCAAATTCTGAGAAAATCTTCGAAAACCTCGCTTTTGGGAGCATTTCCTCTGGGTGAATTTGATTTTTCCCTCCAGATTGTAAGCGCGAGTGCGAGAGTGACATCGCGAAAGGAAGCTGTACAGCGATGACTGGGGCAAGACAAAATTTTTGCACGATATGATCCACTTTTCCGCCAAATTCTGAGAAAATCTTCGAAAATCTCGCTTTTGGGAGCTTTTCCTCTGGGTGAATTTGATTTTTCCCTCCAGATTGTAAGCGTGAGTGCGAGAGTGACATTGCGAAAGGAAGCTGTACAGCGATGACTGGTGCAAGACAAAATTTTTGCACGATATGATCCACTTTTCCGCCAAATTCTGAGAAAATCTTCGAAAATCTCGCTTTTGGGAGCTTTTCCTCTGGGTGAATTTGATTTTTCCCTCCAGATTGTAAGCGTGAGTGCGAGAGTGACATTGCGAAAGGAAGCTGTACAGCGATGACTGGTGCAAGACAAAATTTTTGCACGATATGATCCACTTTTCCGCCAAATTCTGAGAAAATCTTCGAAAATCTCGCTTTTGGGAGCTTTTCCTCTGGGTGAATTTGATTTTTCCCTCCAGATTGTAAGCGTGAGTGCGAGAGTGACATTGCGAAAGGAAGCTGTACAGCGATGACTGGTGCAAGACAAAATTTTTGCACGATATGATCCACTTTTCCGCCAAATTCTGAGAAAATCTTCGAAAATCTCGCTTTTGGGAGCTTTTCCTCTGGGTGAATTTGATTTTTCCCTCCAGATTGTAAGCGTGAGTGCGAGAGTGACATTACGAAAGGAAGCTGTACAGCGATGACTGGTGCAAGACAAAATTTTTGCACGATATGATCCACTTTTCCGCCAAATTCTGAGAAAATCTTCGAAAATCTCGCTCTTGGGAGCATTTCCTCTGGGTGAATTTGATTTTTCCCTCCAGATTGTAAGCGTGAGTGCGAGAGTGACATTGCGAAAGGAAGTGTACAGCGATGACTGGGGCAAGACAAAATTTTTGCACGATATGATCCACTTTCCTCCCATAGAAAATATCTCTGAAAATGTTACTTTTGAGCGGTTGTGGCGATACATGTACTGATAAATTGAAATTTCACTTGAGAAAATTATAAGTATGAAAGACGTTCATATATGGGTGTGCCCTACCCGCTTGCTAGCGACCCGTAGGGTCGCTAGTCTTATATATAAAGCTGAATGTCTGTTTGTCTGTATGTCTGTCTGTATGTCTGTGTGTACGTATGTTCCGAATAGAAAATTCCATTTCTGAACCATCCGGACCAAACTTGGCACACATACACTACGGGCCCCGGCGGGTGTCATAGGCTACTTTTCGTCATCGATCGATATCGATTTTATCGATTTTTATCGATTTTTTTGCTGAGTTCACCTACGGGGCTGGGAGTTGGCACAGGGGGGTAATCGAGCATGGGGATTCCGGATACAATATTGGTTTTCAGGATTATCGGTTACTTTTATCGATTTTATCGATTTTTTTTGCAAAGTTTGAGCTACGGAGCTGGGAGTTGGCACAGGGGGGTAATCGAGCATGGGGATTCCGAATACAATATTGGTTTTCAGGATTATCGATTACTTTTATCGATTTTATCGATTTTTTGCAAAGTTTGAGCTAGGGGCTGGGAGTTGGCACAGGGGGGTAAACGAGCATGCTGATCACCCCCAAGGGGGGTGATCAGCATGCTCGATTACACTCCTGTGCCAAATTCCAGCCCCCTAGCTTTCAAAAAATCGATAAAATCGAAAAAGTAATGGACGATCCTGAAAACTAATATTGTGTTCGTAATCTGCATGCTCGATTACCCCCCTGTGCAAACTCCCAGCCCCGCAGGTCAAACTTTACAAAAAAAATCGATAAAATCGATAAAAGTAATGGACGATCCTGAAAACTAATATTGTGTTCGTAATCAGCATGCTCGATTACCCCCCTGTGCAAACTCCCAGCCCCGCAGGTCAAACTTTACAAAAAAAATCGATAAAATCGATAAAAGTAATGGACGATCCTGAAAACTAATGTAGTATTCGGAATCCCCATGCTCACTTCCCCCCCTGTGCCAACTCCTAGCCCTGTAGGTGAACTCTGCAAAAAAATCGATAAAAATCGGTAAAATCGACATCGATCGATAACGAAAAGTGGACTGTGACACTTGCCGGGGCCCGAAGTGTATGTGTGCCAAGTTTGGTCCGGATACGGCGGAGCCGGGTAAGCCAGCTAGTTACAAATATATTATTGACGGGCCCGGGCGGAGCCGGGTTTGCTAACTAGTCATTAATATAGCCAAAGGATAGACAGGATAAACAAAGCAAAATAGAGGAAGAAATGCATAAAGTGAAGGAACACTATTGAGGAACACGAATGTGCAGCGGATAGAGAAATACATCAAAAAATATGGAGCTCTGCTGCCGTGAGCATATTTCCATTAGGGATCGTTCAGACCGCGCACAAAGGCGCACAAAGGCGCACGAGGGCGCACGAGGGCATGTGTGTGTGTGTGTGTGTGTGTGTGTGTGTGTGTGTGTGTGTGTGTGTGTGTGTGTGTGTGTGTGTGTGTGTGTGTGTGTGTGTGTGTGTGTGTGTGTGTGTGTGTGTGTGTGTGTGTGTGTGTGTGTGTGTGTGTGTGTGTGTGTGTGTGTGTGTGTGTGTGTGTGTGTGTGTGTGTGTGTGTGTGTGTGTGTGTGTGTGTGTGTGTGTGTGTGTGTGTGTGTGTGTGTGTGTGTGTGTGTGTGTGTGTGTGTGTGTGTGTGTGTGTGTGTGTGTGTGTGTGTGTGTGTGTGTGTGTGTGTGTGTGTGTGTGTGTGTGTGTGTGTGTGTGTGTGTGTGTGTGTGTGTGTGTGTGTGTGTGTGTGTGTGTGTGTGTGTGTGTGTGTGTGTGTGTGTGTGTGTGTGTGTGTGTGTGTGTGTGTGTGTGTGTGTGTGTGTGTGTGTGTGTGTGTGTGTGTGTGTGTGTGTGTGTGTGTGTGTGTGTGTGTGTGTGTGTGTGTGTGTGTGTGTGTGTGTGTGTGTGTGTGTGTGTGTGTGTGTGTGTGTGTGTGTGTGTGTGTGTGTGTGTGTGTGTGTGTGTGTGTGTGTGTGTGTGTCGAGACAAACGAGACGAGACGAGACGCGCCTTCGTGCGCCTTTGTGTGCGGTCTGAACGATCCCTTACGCTGCAGCGGCGTACGCGGCGTAGTATGAAGGAACCCTCAGCAGCAGGATCAGGCATGGGAACGCGGGTACGGGTCAGGAGTCACGAATCTTGGCGAAGCGACTCCGCAACGCGATGTTAAGTAGTACAAGACTCAGCTTCCGTCACTCCTGTCGCAATGTTACTTAAGCCATCGAGTCATATATCTATAGTAAGTTTCAATTCAATTTAGGTGGAAAAAATTGTCCTGGCGGGAGTCTTCGCAACGATTCGCGCCGCTTTGCAGTCTGGGTCTCTTCATTCTGATCCATCTCACTGAGCCAAGGGCGGTGCGGACGCGCTGCTTCACTTGGAATGTTTCGCCTACTCCGGGCTGAAAACACTGTATCTGCCGCCATTCCCCACCCCCTCCCTCCTATTGCAGCGCTGTGCCACTTTCCGAAGAGGCACAACGCATTATTTTATTATTTTGTTAGGCACAAAATTTGAGCGAGGCGAGCGGCCACCGCACCTGTTGTGACCAAAACCCATGTAGTGGCGACGATTTCAGATGGAACTCCTAATGCGAAAAGAAGAATTTTAGTGGCCCTTTCTATAGGCTCAACTTATCTGCGTTCTTTCTTCCTTCTGTTCCTCGTTAAAAAGGACAGGTATCTGCTGACCACATCGCCGTGAATCACGCACCTCCCTCATCGTGGAACGAAAATAAGTTTCACCACTATTGCTTACACGAAAATTGGAAGCGATTTGACAGTGCTCGATAACTTTTTTCAAAATCAATAAATCAATAGAATGAGTGGGATTTTCGCAGCAAAAGTAGACTGTGGAGCGGTGTCGGAAACATATGTGTGTGTAAAGTTTGGCGCTGATCGTTTCACACACAAAATCTATTGTAAAGGACATATAGCTAACAATTTACTACACTCTGCTTTATTTATGCATAGACTGTATTTATCTGGCCAGTTTAGGAAAAACACTTTTTTTAGCTCTATCCCTCTCACTCCTATGGATAAC